TCTTACTCCACACAATTCCCAAACCCAAACTGTTGAAAGAAAGAGAAATGGGCAGATCAGCAAGCGTTGGAGCTCGAAGCGTGCTGGAAGATGAGCGTATTGAGTAGACAGTGTGGAGTAGAGAAGCTATAGCCAAAGCTTTGGGGGCAGATTTTGCAATTTGAAATAATATCTTGATAATCCGACGGAAGAAACCGCTCCCACATTGTATAAGATTTAGCAGCAGATTTGAATCCCGGTTCCAGAAAAATCGCCATTCGCGATCCCCAATTGACCTAGATTGATCTCTTTCAAAATTCCAACGCTGTCACGTCAATCCATGGTGGCGGACCACATGGGTCAACATCGTCTGCTTCTGTTGCACCTTACCCAGCAATGGACCCAAACCAATTTCAACCAGAACAGGTGGTGAGAATGGGTATGAGAGAGAGGATATGCGAGAGCGGGATATGCGGTGGTGAAGAGAAACAGAAATGAGAGTGTTTCCCGTGTCTCGTTAAAATGCCGGGTTTTGCCAAAAGAACACCCAAAACGTTCAAAAATGAGAAGGAGAATGCGTTTTCACTATTTTGGAAAATCGAAAACAGAAACGGTTTGAAAACGGTAAGAAGACAGCTCCTTAGTTTTTCATCACATGAATATTGTCATTTTATTTCTTAGTCTTGTAACATTACTACTGCAGAGATCCATAGTAATTTTTTGGACCCAAATGGATTCAGAACAAATAGAGTTTGCAACAAGAGCAGGATATTGTATTGGAAGCCCACCGGGAATGATTGGAAGATGAGTAGCGAAAATCGACCCATTGGATTGAAAAGAAATTAGCATACTATCGGGTCTTAGGACTGACTGGGTGATGTATTTGTTAAGGGAAGAACTTGAAACAATATATTCAAATATAGAACGGCGCAACATATTTACATTAACTTCATGAAAGATTCGAAAGTCCTGAAAACATTTCTGCGACTTGATCGGGATTATTGCAAAGTTGGGGGTTTGGATCCTCATTTCATTGTGCCAATTTTGGTGCCAAAATAGTCTTTTACTTCTTATTTTATTTATTTCACTGCTAAAGAATCAATTTTTTCATCAATGAAATTATTATTAAGGAACAAATGATTGTTGATGGCACTAAATCACAGGTTTAACCTATGTTGCTCAGACTCTCCAAAAATGGACAAGTGTCGATGTCAACATGACATGACACGGATACCGACACGGGATATGGATCGGATCCTTGATTTTGCAATCGGACACGGCAGCAAAATGGAGAAGACGACGAAAGGTGGAGTCTTTCTTCCAGCCGCACTTAATTTCGCCTATGGAAATGTAGTAATCTGGCCTTGCGTCTGTCTATTTGATGCTTCCGAATTTTTGCTTCTAGCCTTGGAAGAAAGAAAACAATTGGGGAAAGAAGACGAAGGGCTGCCTGAAGTGGGCTTGGACCGAAATGTTTTACAAAGGCCTTTGTTAAGTCAAAAGAATATAACTAATGAAATTACAATTATTTTTATTAGAATAAGTTGTATGGTCAAACTCATTTAATTTGAGTTTATTTTTGTATTAATTTTTTATTTCTTATATTTATCTAAATGAGTTGTTTATTTTGTAATTAAAATAATTTAGTGCTATATCTTATTTTTATTATTAAATTGAAATTTATTTCTATATATATATTTTTCAATAATATATAAGACATTTACATTGATTTTTTCCTTTAATTTTTTTGAAATGTCATTTTTTTTTGAAAAAAATATTTTGTAAAACGTATCCTCGTACTCGTATCCAAAATTCAGATCCTTTTTAACCGTATCCTCGTATCTTAATTTTTATAATGAGAAGAATCTGACTCCTAAATATGTACCCATATCCGACACCTGCACCCGAGTCCAAGCAACATAGTGTTTAACACATATATAGAGCATCAACATTTCCAGCTAAAACAACTCCTTCACGTTTATCATCGTAAAAATATGATGCAACTTAAATAAGTAGAGTAAATCAAATAATATATCTACTAGAATTCCCATCATTTGGATATTTAATTTAGGAAAAGTAATTAGACTTTTATTTTATAAATTTTCGAGCAATTTTCTAATTGAATTAGACTTGTTTAAAACATATATAAAGAGAGTTTGAGATCTATTAACCAACCTAGTTCTTCGCATCGTCACTCTCCCTCTAAATTCTTTCTCTTCTCTCTTCTCTCTTCTCTCTTCTCTCTTCTCCTTTCTTTCATCAACCTAGTTCTTATTCGATTGTTTTCTACATTAAAAGTTAACACAAATTGTTCTCACTAATGCATCTTCAGTAACAAGAGATAGTGATATTTATTTGAAGTCTATATCTTTGAGGACAGTTTGAGAACTATTATCTTGATTTCTTACAGCTAATTCTCCCGTTTAGGAACAGTTTGCTTTCCAGTTCGAATTGAGAATTCATTAATTATTTTAAATTAATTAAGTTGATTTTAATGGGGAGAGAATATGTCAAGGCTCATCAACATACTTTAAGTTAAACATCGCATAAACTTAATTTTGATTAGGTTTCCAGCTCAAATGATCAAAACAATCAGCTACTTGATATAAAACTCGAAATGTATCTAGTATGCTTATTTATAGATTTTAAATAAATTCGATTCTAGAACCTTGCTGAGGTAAAGAGCCAAATTGTATCTTTCCCATTTATTAAAAGGTTAAACTCCAACCTTGAGAGCCCCCATCACCCCAACCCTGGAGCATCGTAAGGGAGGTAAATCGCGAAATGTACCTCATCAGGCCAAAAAACAAGAACTTGCCCGTTCACTGGTCATCACAAATAGTCCAATTTCATATTTCAGAAATCGAACCCTCATACTGCAATTGCTAGCAAGACTGAGACTACCTCACTCATATCCTTTGCACTACTGGATTATGCACTGGAAGGCTTTCCTATTTATTTATTGGGCAACGGAGTGGCTGTTGGGCTTTTGATTTTTGACTTCCAAAAATAAGGACAAGATTTACCAAGAGAATAGCAACGATCATCTCTCCTTTCTTCTTCATAAATACATCATTTACATTTGACCAATGTCTATGTCTGATCGTTCTTATTTACCCACAAAACAAAAACCTTCGTATTCTGTCCAAAAATCAAACATGAAGGCAGCTTCTCCAATTCTCATGGCATTGATTGTCACATACATGAGCTGCATGATGATTTTATTTTATTTTTTGTTAAACTTGCATAGGGAATCATAGAATCAATTGGGGAAGACAAACCTACCAAAGATTGATCCCAGCGAACGTCGTAGATTTGCATTTACAGAATGGGATTCAACAGGCTAGGATTTTTTCACTGCTGCTGATAATGTTATGGCTGCCTTTTCTAGGAGTGGTGTTTCCCTCTCCATTTCCCTCTCCAATTATGTCCTTTATCTGATAAACTCTTCCACAGATGCAGAAAAATGAATACAAAAATCGATTATTAAATTCAGAAGCCGGAATGTTGATATAAAGTTCGTTTTATTCATGATTTCTCTCGAAAAGGCTGCAAAAACAATTTCATATCCTGACAGATCTGCTGCTTCTCTTGTTGTGAAAGATCTTTATCTTCACCTAGTTTTACTTCAATCTGCAAAGCAAAAGAATGTGGCCAAAATCATGTCATAATCAGGTTTCTTGAGACATTTCTTTAAGTTGGACCCAGCTTATAAGTGGTCAAACTATCTTATAAACACAAACACCCAACACCCAACACGTTGGCTTGCTAAAAGCAGGACTTACTTTTAAAGACAAAAGACAAGGAGGGTTTAAGTACCTCCATCCTACTTAGGGCTCGTTTGGCAGGGCTTTAACTTTTACTTCGACTTCTTATAGAAATTTATGAGGAATCTACCCGAGACTAGTTTTCTCTAAAAATTCTTCTAATCTAGCCGGACAAAGTACTTACAAACAAAGCACTTATAGAAAATTATTAATAACATGTTCAAAAGCAGCTTCTTTAGTCTTGCAAGTAGCTTTTGACTTTTCAAAAGTCCTGCTGAATAAGCTTATTGTCTCATTTTTTTAAGTTGACCATTACATTTATCATATTACCTCTCTTAGATATCGGAAAATTTTCAACCCATCTTGGAAACAGTGAAAAAAACTTGGCCTATAGAGGGCACTTCAGTAAACTATCTCATTGATTTTGCTAATAAATGAGTGAGTTTCCAAACATGTTGGCTTAACAAAAGGGGAATTAGATATCTTAATTTTTAAGCACACCCAAACAAGCCCTAAGTCAAGTTGTTAATTTTACTTCGACAGCTTCAAGCATTTTATATGCAATATACCTGCAAATCATCCGGTTCACCCAAGGAGAACTTGAATACATCTATGTGGCCTTCGACCTTCTTCTCCCCTCCAACAAGCCATTCTCATGATGTCCATTAATTTATCATTTGGTAGTTTAGGTGCAAAACAAAAACATGGAACAAAGAAACAGAGTAAATAAAGATTATTCCACAATGACGAAAAAGAAAAAAGTTTACCTTTCACTTTTAGTGTCAGCTCATAGTTGTAGCCAATTCGTTTTTTGTTTCGTACAGTGACCAAGAATGCTTGAAAGTCTTTCAAAAATTATTGCTGAACCAAGGAATGGTAATTGAGTTAATAACCTTAAAATGTCCAATAATATTATGTTTCGAGAGAAAGTAACAATATGTACTCGAACTCTACAGAGTAAGTGTGCTTAATATTCAGGAGTCTAGCTTATTTTAAAAAACAAAATTAATACAATAAAGAAATTTTCCTCGAGCAGATTCCTCTCTCTCTCTCTCTCTCTCTCTCTCTTTCAATGTTATTGGAGAAAATCAAACAAAAAACTCATCCTTCTAGATTTTTCTCAGTTCTAACAAATAAACGAGTGTGTTCACAATTATGAGCATCTTCAACTTATTGAGAGCATGCTTGGGAGTGCATTTAAGCGATTATAAGTTGTTGGTCTTATGGAATGTTTAGATAATAAGATTATTAGTTATGGATCTTACGAAATATGTACATAAAAAGTATCTTTAACTAGTTTAAATTATCAATTTAAGCTTCGACAAACATGCACTGATTTGGCTGCAAGTATATAATATATTTCAGTGGACATCAACTCATGTGAGTCACAGCACACCAATTTATAAGTACCTTTGATTAAAACATTTTATGAAGTGGATAATTACTGAACTATGAGAAGCAATACAAAGGACAAAGGAACCTTCAAGACATTGGACAAGGTTGAAGAAGATTTTGCAAATTAATGCACAAAGCCGTTATTAATATCCAAAATAGCCATGATTGAGTCCATGGAAAGTCATGCACTACTACTCTCTCCACCATACGTCTTCGTTTCTCAAGTGTCATTTCTTAAAATCAAGTAAATATAGAGTTAATTCATTTCAGAAACTAGTGAAGTGGACCAAGTAGTTAATGTCAAAAATAGCTGTAATGAGCAACTTCCTAAAATATTAACACAACAGAAATTATGAGATATTAATGTTTGTCAGTTTATGCAAGTTTATCAATGTCAAGTATATACATGAAATGTGGTCAGCAAACATCTCACTTGGAAATTAATCTTCAGAAGCTTAAAAGGAAAGAAATTGTTTCAGGCATATTACAATTTTACAAGCACTCACATCCCAGAGCATTTAGTCACTTCTGATACTTCGGCTTGGCCACCGGAGAAATCCAGGGACCTCATAGACACAAGCAACTCCTGCAATTTGAACCCTAAAGTCAAATGCTAATATATATTACGAGGTATGTGTGTGCGTGCACTCTAGGTGGCAAATATGAAAAAGCCAGAATAATTGATTGGTATGGAGAATTCATACAGTGCAGCACCATTTTTTGATTTCGGCTTCATGGTAATGTTTCTTGATTTTAGAATCTCTTACAGAACTCCATTGTGAATGGGTTCATTTTTCAATCTGAAAAGTTATCCTCTCCATTTAGCTTGTCCAAAATTATATAAATCAGGCTTTGGTAAGTCACAATGTTCTCATAGTAATCTAATTTCTCATCTTCACTTGTTCTGCTTCAATTCATTATATGGTCTTTGCTGTTGCGCGCGTGCGTGTGTGTGTTTTTTTTTTTTTTTTTTTTTTTTTTTTTTTTTTTTTTTGGTGGTTGGTGGCAACTAAGTGCCCAACTAATGATACAAACAAAAGCATTTGAATGAGTGACTGAAAGAGGCCGGCATATTAACACCCGAAGCATTTAAAGTACTATTTTCCAGCACCAACAATAGGAGTATTTATATGATTGGAAACAAAAGTAAAAGAAAAAAAATTCATATACAATGCATTTGAGCATGATAAACAATATTGAAGAAGATATTTAACAGTTATAGGCATTCAAACCTTAATCCTATCAGTTGCCCATTTATTCAAACTCTTCTCCTCCCATGTTCCAGCCTGTAAAGAGGAAAACGGAAATCAAGTCTTAACATAATATAAGAAACACATAAATTTTACTTTTACCCAATGACATGCACTTGGCAGCTAAGTATGATGAATATTGACTTCAAACGCATGTAAGACTCAAAAATCTAGTCACCCCTAGGTCAGTGAAACCTAAATTTAAAACTAACACAGCAGCCACAATGCATTTCATTAAAACGTGCAAATTACAATTGAAAAAAAAAAAAAAAGTGTAGTTAAACAAAAATAATTAAATGCAGTCCAGTCCATAAGTACTACTAAAAGTGCCACTAGAAGTTATAGCAAACAAAGTTCATGGAAATAAAAATTGGATTACATTATTGACAAGCTTTTCAAGAATACCTTACATATTATATGCTTAAACTATAACAAAATTCACAGGACCTTCAACATTCCATCAAGCAACAATTAACACACTCATTTAAGAACAGAAAAATGTTCTAGGATTAAATTTATTTAAAAAACAAATTCTATAACTCTTACCATTTTGTTAATTAGTTTCCTTAAAAGGGAACAACCACAGGATATTTCATATTATTTGAAAAGCTCTAATAATAGGCAACGAGAGCCGCATGCATGGAATCACAAGTCTTCATAGTTTCCATGCAGACCATAAACATTTTGATCATCTATATGTTTCCAATCTTCTTATTTCGGTATTTGTTGGATTCTCTATGCTGAAGGAGTTAACATTTTCAACTAACATGCAACACTTGCCAGTTCTTATTCATTAATTCTCTAACCTCTCAGTATATTGTCTTTATTTAGAATGACCAAGTAGCAAGGAAATTCGTAAGCTCAGCTCTTAAGGAGTATATTTTTAGTGATTTTGTGTCCATGCAGTTTCATCATGATCAGACTGTTCATAGCACTAGGGTCAGGTGTAAGGACCAAATGTATTCAACAATTGACGGATAGGCTCCTAGAGAAGCTTTAATCAAATCCAATTTTCAAGAAGTTCATCACAGCCCATTGAGTGTGATACCTGGTATGCGGCCAATTTAATCTCTTTCATCCACCTTAACGGATAGAAGTTAATTTTTCTTGGATTATTCCATATGTACCGAATTGTGTCCCCCTCTCACAATGCATGTGGGCCCACGTGAATTTAAAAATGCCAACATGTGGTCCCCACCTCTGTTGTGAGCAGTAGATAAAAAAAATTCAGTACGTATAACATTGTCCATTTTTCTTAGGATCGCCATCTCTTTTATAGATCACAAAAAACAAAATAAATAGTTTTTTCTCTTATGCTGGTAATCCTATTCTTTCTAAAGGGGCATTTAATCCTCTATAGTTTTGTGACTTTCTTCCTCACAATTCTCACGACTAAACAAGACATCCACAGAACTCTCCTTTTAGTCTGAGTGAGCCATTAACCCTACTTCACTTTTCTTAATTTTATTTGATTACTGAATATGTAAACCATCTATATTTTCCAACTTCCAATACTCATTGTTTATTCTGCATCCAAGGAATCTAAGGAAGATAAACCTTTACTTGACCACCATCAATTGCACAGCTAAAACACTGTAGACAACAAGTTCAAACCAAAAGAGCAACCTTACAATCAAAATGTATCAGAAAGCGATCAACAAATGCATAAGGTCTAAGCATTTTAACTTTATCCTTATCATATTTAGGAATAAATACAATTTCTTTTAGATTTTCCAAAATAAAACATTTCCCTCTCTTGAATTCTTATGATTCAAGTATTTCAACATCAAATTAGCCTCAGTTTCCATTTTCCCTTCTACTTCTCCATAACTGCTCAATTGTTTTGTGCCAATTGAAGTTCAAAACGTACATTTATGAGCATAAAACATAAAAAAAACCACCTTTATCATTTATCAACAAAAGATAATACTTTTTACCAGAAGAATACCCCATTCAAGGCGGAACCCAGGTGGGTTTTGTTTGATTGTTTCGAGAGGTCTTCCGGGTTGAGCTTCTTCGGCAAAGGTAAAGGGGCGGCTTCATGGGTCACATCCCGGATCCAATAGGTGTATGAGGCTGCCGTAGTTGATTCCGATGCTTTCTCAACTGAAATCGACGCTGCACCACCACCTTCCATTGCTCTCTTATCATTAACCAGATTAAGCTAAGGTAGTGTTTGATTGGCACATTTTCATAGAAATGGGTGGAAAATCTCCACCCAAAATGTAGCATTTGATTATCAAGATTTTTCATGAAATTGGCTTCTAACTTTTATTTGAAGTTGTGTTATTTCTTATTCAGTAGAATTCCAACTCTCACCGTAATTCGGGAAATATAGCTTAATAGCCTAAATAAAAGGAAGATTTTCCAAATTAGTCTAAGAAATAAAAATATTTGAAAACTAGTCTCCAAACAATCAACTTTTCAAAAATACCCTTAATAGAAAAATTGCAACCAAAGCCACTACAATGTTTAAAAACCTTCAAATAGGTCCTCAAGAAAATATAGATCATAAATCTTTAATAAATTTAGATCCAAATATTATACAAAATTTTATTGACCTAAAAAACTCTACAGAAAACGAATTAATCTATTTGGAAGAAGATCTGAAAGACTTCTTTATAGAATATTTAGATCCAAAACTAAAAAATAAAAATGATTCTATAGATGATGAAGCAATCAAAATGGAAAAAGATATATATAAATTAATTCTTAATTTAAGAAGAAAAATTAAAAAATTAAACATAATTATTCAAGAAAAAATATTGGTAAAAAATAGTGAATTTTATAAATTCTATTGTGATATTTTAAATACTTATGAAGAATTTAATTGGCTCAAAAATATTAACCCCTCCGTTGAACACTCCGAAGAAATGGTATCAGAGCCAAGTTAAGAACCAAAAATAATGATGAATACAGTAGACGAAGAAAGTAAAATAGAAGAATTTTTGAAAAAAGTTGAAAAATATAAAAAACCTAGTTATCCTTATTTACCTAAAAACACCACAAATGAAAATTTTGGGGATATACATAAAAGATTAGAGAACCTAGAATATAATCTACAAATAGGAAATGCCCTATTAGATAAAAAATCTTAAAGGAAAAGATAGGATTATAATTAATCCACCCCAAGATTTCAGAATAACAAAAAATAAAGGTAAAAGGCTGAAGAAAAACAATATATGATAACAGATGTAGAAGAAATAGAACAAAAATTCTTAAAATCTACAGGTGAAGAGTATGAAGAATATAAAAAACAGTTAGAAAAATTAACTGAAAAAATGGAGAATATAAAGATGAATACTAATCCATCTTCAAGTCAGAATATAAAAATAGAATACAGTAGTGATGAAGAACAAGATTTTCCTTATGGTACCCCGATACCTAATAAGTTTGATATTAATCAATATAGAAAAACCCAGAAAAGATACACTGGAAATGTAAGAAAACAATCCATAAAAGAAATAAATCCAATGAAATCTTATAATGAACCAATCCACACAACAGGAGTATGGTTAGACTTAGATTGTGTAGATAAAAATAAAGCTATTGAATCATGGATAAAAAGTACAGATTTAGCTATACAATTTAATAAATAGGAAACATATACAGTTTTTGGATTTATAGAACATACATTCAGAGGAATTGTGTCTGAATGGTGGAGAAAATTACCAGAAATTATCAAAGGAAGTGTAAAATATGGAACAAGTAGAACTGAGGTATTAGATAATAGGAATACCCTAAATGAACAAAATATACATATTAAAAAGATTTGAGAAAATCTTAAGAACAGAATTCTTAGGAGATAAGTATTCTTCTAATGAAGAAGAAAGAAAACAAGATGAATATAATCAAGGAATGATTTTAATGGAAAATTTAAAGATATGTGACATGTGTGAGTTAGAAAGATATACATGTAAATTTGAAGAATTATACTAGATACTTAATCAAGGAGACTACCAGGAAAATAAACCTATTTTAAGATCTTATTTTACAAAGTTACCATTCCCATGGGGAATCAAGTTATTAAAAGAATATGAAAAATTATTACCTCTAGGAAAAGAGGAAGGAGTTTAAATAGATAGTCTTGGAAGTAGAATTGAATTTACAAAAAGAATGATAGGAATGTGGTGCAGAGAAGCACTAGAAAATAAGAAAGCCTATAAAATAAGGAAGAAAGCATTATGTTGCTATAAAGATAATGACCAAGTTGAACAATTTGGATGCCATAATAAGAAATATAAACCATATAAGAAATATAAAAGGAAATTCAAAAACTATAAAAAATTCAATAAAAAGAATTTTAAACCATATAAAAAATATTTTAAGAAAAGGAATTGGAATAAGAAATTTAAACCAAGAAACATTAAAAAATGTAGATGTTTTATTTGTAATGAAGAAAAACACATTGCCCCTCAATGTCCTAAAAAGAAAGATAGACAAAATATAAAAACTCTTAGAATTTATGAAAAATTTCAGAAAGATAGTGATATAGAACCAATTGAATATTTTGAAGATCTAAGCAGTGAATGCAGTAATATTTATGAATTAGATACATCCTCATCAGAGGAAGAATATGAGGAGATAATATATATGAATCAAGAGATACAACAATCAGAAATAGAAATAGAAACAACTGAAGAAGTTGAAGATTCTATAGAAGGTATTAATCAAGAAATTATCTTTGATATTAAAAAATACACAGGAATTACTAAAAAGATATTGGATCTACAGGAAAAAGATGTATTCCATCAAGGATTCTTAAGAATTTTACCAAGAGTAAATAAAACAATTATTAGTATGAATTATAAAGAAATGTCTATCAACATAGAAGATACTATAGGAAAAGCAAGAATTCCTATAATTACAAAAGAATGGGTAAAACAGAAAATATCCAAAATCCCAGAAAATGTAAGAAATAAATTAAAATGTATCGAGTTAGGAGGAGTCCAGATAATGATAAAAGGATTTTTTAGGGAAGGTATGAATATACCAATAGAAATATATTGTATGGATAATAGAATCTTACAAGATCCTATAGATGCTCTATTAGGAACAGTTGTAGGAAACTTAGTTTATCAAAAGATAATATTTACAGTAATACCAAATTATGCAATATCATTAGGTGATGAAAATATTGACCAAAGTATCAATATATATTATAGAATTGGTAACTTGAAAATGTTACGAAGAAGTAAGGCTGTTAGTATAAGCATAAAATCAATTTTTGCTTTTAGTACTAACCATCATAACAATTTAAGAAAAATAACTGATAATATTATCATACATAAAGATTTTGAGGAAGTTAGCACAATATATACCTCCTAGAAAATACCAAGAACATGAAGTCACTATACCAGAACAAATAATGCTTGATTTCCATAAACAAGCTAGAGAAATTAACTCTAAAGGAAAACTAATAAGAAGAAATAGTGTTAGCTTAGAAGGAGATAATCTTATAGCAAGATTTCCCTCTAAACAGGACTCTAAGATAAGCAGACTTAAGAATCTAAGTATTGCTGAATCATCAAGTTCGCAATATTATATCAAGACAAGATATGTGAACCAAGAAGGATATAAGAAGAATCTTCTTGTCCTTATAGATACTGGAGCAGATAAGAGTCATGTAAATGCTAAATTTGTTAGTCATCTAATAGAATTTGAAATAACAGAACCTTACATATTTAAAGATTATTTAGGAAATAATCTTGAAATCAGAAAATATGTTAAGTTCCCTCTTATACTTATAGGAGAAGATCAGAGAGAATATACTAAAGAAATAATTCTATATAAAGATGAATTATATGGAGTAGATCGTTCACCTATTCTACTAGGAATGAACTTTCTTGAGAAATATAATCCTTACAAAATTTGTCAAGGATATTTAAAGATAATAGTTGACGATAATCCAATTATCATTCCAAGAATAGATGAAAATATGAAATCATTGTTATCATGGAAAGAGTAATAAATACTAATCACATGAGCCCATATATTGAAATTACACTCAATATAAAAGATTATTGTAGAATTAAATTTCATGCTTACTTAGATACAGGAAGTACTATAAGCTTATGCTTACCAAATGTACTGCCATCTGAATATTGGAAATATAATTCAAAGAAAGTAGTAACTGCTACAACAGCAGGTGGAAATAAGGTAATATATAGCAAGTATGCTACCCAAGTACCTTTTCTAATTTCCTTTAGAGAAGTATTTGTTGATACAATATATATGTCAACCACAATTGGATGTGATATTTTATTAGGACAGAATTTCCTATTAAAATACGCACCATTTACACAATATATTGATAAATATATGTTCACAACACCTTGTGCACATAAGATATTTACACCAAAAATAAATAAGGCTGTTACAATTGCATATAGAGAAATAAACCATCAAAGTTCCTCAACCCAGCGTGGTGGATGTTGGAATACAGGAAAATTTAAACCAGTTATAGTCTTAAAAATGACAACAGAAAATAGGATTGAAAAATTGAAAAAGGAAATTTCTGAAACATATTCTGAAAATCCATTAGAAAAATGGAATATTGATAAAGTAAAGGCAAAAATAGAATTAACCAATCCAGATACTATTGTTAGAGTTAAACCTATGAAATATAATGTTGATGATCAAAAAGAATTTAGAAATCAGATAAAAGAATTGCTAGAAGCTAAATTAATTAGGCCTAGTAAAAGCCCTCATAGCAGTCCAGCCTTTATGGTTAGAAAACATAGTGAGATAAAAAGAGGAAAAGCCAGAATGGTGATAAACTATAAAAAATTAAATGAAGTAACCAAGTTTGATGGATATTACTTGCCAAATAAGGATACCCTTATTAAACAAGTACAAAACAAAAAGATATTCTCAAAATTTGATTGTAAGTCAGGGTTTTGGCAAATCATGCTTACAGAGGAAAGTTAAAGAAGAATTAAAGGTATTACCCAAACTTGTAATACCACAAGAAGAAGATTTTTTTATCTTGGAAACTGATGCTTCAGATTATTACTAGGGAGCAGTGTTAAAGGTTAAAAAGAATCATAAAGAATATAAATGTAAAAAAGATTGTTCTTGTCCTGAAATACTTGCAGGTTATACATCGGGAACATTTAAAGAAGTTGAAACTAGATATGAGACGAACAGATAAGAACTCATTGCTGTAAAAAGAGGAGTTCAGAAATATGAAGATTATTTATTGCCAAAGAAATTCTTAATTAGAACTGATAATACTCAAGTTAAAGCATTTTTAAAAAATAATGTTGATCCATCTATTAATAATAGATATATTATTAGGATACA